CGCAACTCTGTGAATTGATCAAGTTAGATAATAATACCGTTACATACCGGCTCAGTTGTCCGAGGGTTAGGCGTTCGCCTACAATACCGAAGGTCCTGGGTTCGAATCCTGCGAGGTGCAGAAGTCGTGGATGCGCACTGTCACTGATGAGTCCCATACCAGGACGAAACGGCCGTCTTTCAGTGATTCATAGTTTCAAATACAGCTTAAATCAGCCAATATTATAAAACGTTATCAGAGTAAAAGTTCAATAGTTTTATTATTATAGAAGAGTTGAAGAATATTGTACTTGATTTCTAGAAACTAGTGGCAATCATTATTATCAATATTATTGTTATTATTGAAATGAGAACGTTTCTTTCAAGGCAGTGGATTTTCAAATTCATCTGTAAATGCGAGTCATTCTTTTTTTTTGCTTACATGAGAATGAATAACTAACGTGAACCGCTAGTGATAAGTTTTCAAAATTAATGACATTGATTAGGTGGATTGTGAAGTGTAATGTGCTTAGATTATTTGATGCATAGAACACTTCTGCTTGTAGAAAGGATTTAGTTGTGACCAAATTGGTCTCGTATGCTGTTACTGGTATGAGTGGCGGTTGCCACTTCCCAGCTGCCCACACTGTGGAAGGTTGTTTCTTGAGGAACCTGATAAAGAAGGTAGATTAATGTCGGTCTTAAAGACCTGAGAGCGTGGACGAAGAGCCTGAGGGACAACTGCTTGAGGCCGTTCACGCACGGCCTTTCTATGGAAAGTTTTTAGTGTTAGCTCCGCTTTTGTTTAAAAGGCGTTACGGACGGAGACAGAAATCTTTGAGACAAGGCGAGGTGTGACATTCTTAGGGTCAACCTTTTCTAATCCTTCCTTCCTTCCTTGAGAGAAGGCAGCATCGCTGCACATGCTGGTTGTCCGAGAGAAACAGCTTACTGCTGTCACACCACTCTGCAGTCAGCAGTACGACTTCACCCTCAGACCTTGAGTAGCTGATTTTATTCTCATCGTTCTCCAATCAACCTACCTGGCATGGTAGAACCTTCAGGAATATATGCTGCGGCCAATATAGCTCGGTTGGATCATGACGATAGTCAAGCCCGACAACCAATTCAAGGTAGCAGCTACGGTCGGGCTTCTGCTTGTTGGAGTAATGAAACCTGAAACATAACTGTAGTAGCGACTAAAAAGTAGTTATAGTAAAATCTGAGTTATTCAGAGTGTCTTTTGTAAAACTACCAAGCCACTAAGCAAAATTATTATCAAACATTTAATCAGCGCAGCGAACGGTACTATTTGTATGAGTAATTATTTTCACATCTTTGGCTTTATCAGTCACTTGACAAATATGGCACTCGGAGCCGATTGTACCAATATTTTTCGTTAGCGAGTTCTGAAGATTGTTATTTTATTACTGAAATCATAAATCGATCGTCGTTAGACCACAATTATAAGTCTGGAAGCACTGAACGGTTGTTTCATCATGGCATGGGACTCATCAGCAGTGCATATGCACAAGGTTCGAATCCAGGACATTCGGCCTTGCCCTGCGAACACCCTAACTTCTGGGCCAACATCTAACTGTGTTAATGTCTAACTTTGATCGATCTAGGGATTTTACTCGACCTCATCCATTTGTTGTCCGTAAGTAATTGCCTACACACCCGACAGATCTGAACTCCACTGGTCACATCTTCTCACTAGAACTTTGAGAATTTCCTCGCTAAACTAACCACTAGTAGTTCATTATCGATTTACTATTCAAGTAAACTGAAAACTTAGGTTAAAATCAATTCAGTTTGTCTTTGAACAAAAAAAGCCCAGTACTATTTTTTGGCATAATCACTTATAACAAGTACACATTGTATTTTAGTGATTTAAACAATCTTTTCAAGTTTTCAAAATTCTTCACTCCATTATGTCTTAATAAAAAACTACAACAGAGAAAAAGACAAAAAAATACCCATACTACTTACAAGTTACATAACTTAAATTATTTCTTCAAGGAAGAACTAAAAAAAAATTTCTCTTACAAAAATTTTTCCTTCTTACCACATACAACACAAGTTGTTGTATAGAACTCGCAAATACACTATAAATTACTACTTTTTTCTCTTATGAAATATAAATTTTAAATCAATAAAATTCGGAATGTTCACTTTAGTTACAAAGTATAATGCAAAACTAACACTAATCAAGGTAAAACAAAATGACAGAAGAACACAAATCAACAGCGAATCCGTAAAAATGATTTCAACGTGTTAAAACACTAATCGCCATAATTGTAATTGAAAAATTTGGATAATTTACTCATTGGTGACGACTAGCTTTGCGAGGAAATTCTCGAAGTTCTTCTAGTGAGAAGACGTGACCAGCGGAGTTCAACCCTATCGAGTGTAGGCAGTAACTTACTTACTTACTTACTTAACGCCTGTTACCCCCAATGGAGCATAGGCCACCCACCAGTTTTCTCCAACCAACTCTGTCCTCGGCTTCCCTCTCCAGTTCTGTTCAATGTTTGTTCATTCCTCTCATATCTTTCTCCATTTCTCGGCGTAATGTGTTCTTTGGCCTTCCTCTTTCCCTTTGACCTTGAGGGTTCCATGTGAGGGATCGACTTGTGACGCAGTTCGGTGCTTTTCGTAATGTGTGTCCTATCTACTTCCACCGCCTCTTCCTGATTTCCTCCTCCATTGGAATCTGGTTTGTTCTCTCCCACAGTAAGTTGTAGCTGATAGTGTCTGACCAACGAATCCGAAGTATTTTGTGTAGACAACTGTTCATAAATACTTGTATCTTGTGGATGATGGCTTTGGTAGTTCTCCAAGTTTCCACTCCATACAGTAAAACCATCTTGACATTTGTATTGAAAATCCTGATTTTGGTTTTGGTTGACAGATATTTGGAGTTCCAGATATTTTTCAACTGTAGAAATGCAACCTTTGCTTTGCCGATCCGCGACCTCACATCTGCATCCGATCCACCTTTCTCGTCGATTATGCTGCCCAGATATGTAAAAGTGTTAACGTCCTCCAAGGCATCTTCATCAAGAGTGATTCGGTTGGTGCATGTTGTGTTGCATCGGAGAATTTCGCTTTTCCCTTTATGTATGTTGAGACATACTGCTGCAGAGGCTGCTGCTATACTGGTCGTCTTCTCTTGCATTTGTTGTTGAGTGTGCGATAGAAGAGCCAAGTCATCTGCGAAGTCCAGATCGTCCAGCTGCATCCTAACTGTCCAGTTGATACCGTGCTTCCCTCCAGACGTCGACGTTTTCATAATCCAGTCGATGACCAGGAGAAAGAGAAAGGGTGAGAGTAAGCAACCTTGCCTGACCACAGTCTTCACCTCGAAAGAGTCTGTCAGCTGACCTCCGTGCACGATTTCGCAGTTGAATCCATCATATAAATTCCGTATGATGTTGACTATTTTCTCAGGCACACCGTAGTGTCGAAGAAGCCTCCACAGTGTTTTCCTATCCACGCTATCGAATGCTTTCTCGTAGTCGATGAAGTTGATGTAGAGTGGTGAGTTCCTTTCAATAGATTGTTCCACAATGATCCGTAATGTAGCAATTTGGTCAGTACACGATCGATCCTTACGAAATCCGGCCTGTTGATCTCGAAGTTGGGCGTCTACGAAGTCCTTCATTCTGTTTAACAATACCCTGTTGAAGACTTTGCCTGGTATTGAGAGAAGAGTGATGTCCCTGTAGTTCTCACACTTGCTCAGGTCGCCTTTCTTTGGTATTTTGATCAGGTATCCTTCTTTGTAGGCAGTAACTACCAAAGACAAAGGGTAAGGTCACGCCAAATCCCTAGATTGATCAGAGTTAGACATTACCGCCTTTGGATACTGGTCCAGTGGTTCAGATGTTCAGATTTTCGCGCACAAGACCGAAGGTTGTGGGTTCGAATCCCGAAAGATGCTGAAATTGTGGATGCGCACCGCCATTGTTGAGTCCCATACCTAGATGAAACGGCCGTCGTTTATTCAATGCTTCCAGGTTTCTAATGATGTAGTCTAACAATGAGAGATTGATGATTTCAACGTGTTAAATGATAAGTGACACATATCTTGAATTCCATAGAGTTGGTTAGTCAGTTGATGAAATCTCAATGTTTTCTTTGAATACTAACAAACCCAACCTTTTCCAAGTTGATCAAAACCTCTCTGACCAAGTGACTGTATACGAAAGCAAGATAACACAGGTTAAAAAATGATCGGAATTTCTACGTTAACTGTTTGCTTCACGTCTAAACCCCTCAAGTCATGTCACTTACCTTCATATGTTCTTCTTCAGTAAACAAACTAGATGTATTATTCTCCACCGCTGGATTATTTGATAAATAACATTGATCTGAATGATAAGTTGATAAGATACTTGTAGGCGATTGTTCACATTGTGGATATGTATTCCATACAAGTTGTTTCAAGTCACAATAAAATGTAGAACGTAAAAATCGTTGATACGAGTCTTTATTCATTAATCCTTGAATGGTTTGTTGTGCTAGAACAAATGTTTCACTAGTTGGATTTAATATACTAGCGATTGTTTGATTACGAGTTTCTGAATCTAAATTAACCTTTTTGACGGGGAAAAAAAGAAAGATAGGGTAGTGAACGAGAACACAGGTGGGGCAACCGAATTGTATTTAACGAAAATTACAGAGTTACTCAGTAAAATCGGAAAACCATATCGTAAATCGTTCATTTGCAAAATATCACAGTTCATCATATCGAACTGGACTGTTCCTATTGCAAAACATCAATCCATTTTCACTATTCATGCGTTTCATACAAATTCCATTGTTTTCTAACTCTTCCTTTCTTGATCTTCCCCCCATATTCTGCTGCCAGACATTACGTTGATGCCCACGTCATATACTACTTATAAGTAGCTCACACCACAATAGAACAAGGTTCAAAACACATCTTTGTCATCAGTTTTAACATACAACCAGAGGTGATGTTTGTTTTAAAACGCTTTACGGTAAAATTGAAAGTTGAACACATTTTTCAATGGCTACATATTATCATGGTTATCACATGCGTCTGACCGATAAATGATAATGAAGTGTGTAGGGTAACTTTCTACACGAACTGCATTACGTAATTCAAAACAGCGCTCACTGAAGAATCCTTACAAACAACACAATCACTGCTTACAACAATTATGCAATTATGACTTGAAATTATTCTATTGACGCAAATAAAGATCCTGTAAATATCCGATGTGGATAGAACTGATCTAAATGTTATCGATTTTCAAAAATTTCAAATTATGTTAATTTATAATGTGTTAGATTGAAATTTATCCTGAAACACGTACAGATTCAAATGAATGAACATACATTAGGTTTATTGATTAGTTCTTTAAATAATTTGCTAACAGTATCGACCATATCTTATATTTGAGTGTCTGTGTGTGCGCGCGTATGCTTACTTACTCGTTTTTACTACATATTTAGCACATTATTGCCTGACTAAAAATACTTATTTTCGGGCAGAGTTTTGGAGATTTTGTGTTTTTATACATTTGAAATCATCAATCAATCATTGTTAGACTAGCACCATTAGAAACCTGGAAGCACTGAAAGACGGACGTTTCGTCCTTGTATGGGACTCATCAGTGGCAGTGCGCATCCACGAATCCTGCATTTCGCAGGATTCGCAGGTTTCTAATGGTGGTCTAACAATGGTAGATTGATGATTTCAAATGTGCAAAAAAACACAAACCTCCAAAACTCTGCCCCAAAATATCGTAACAGTGCTCACTAGTGACTATCTTCGTGAGGAAATTTTGGGAGTTCTAGTTGAGAAGACATGACCAATGGAGTTCAATCCTGTCGGGTTTAGGCAGTAACTAACAAAGACAAATGGGTGAGGTCTCGCAAAATCCGTAGATCAATCAGAGTTAGACATTAACACCGTTGGATGCCGGCCCAGTGGTCCGGTGGTTAGGCGTTCGCACACAATACCGGTGTTGGGTTCGAATCCTGCGAGGTGCAGGAGTCGTGGATATGCACTGCTGATGAGTCCCATACCAGGACGAAATGGCCATCCAGTGCTTCCAGGTTTCTAATCGTGTGGTCTAACAATGACTGATTGATGATTTCAATTGTGTGAAAATACTTAGTTGGGATTCAGTGTATGAGAGAGATGCCTCACTTGCCTTCTTCAGTTCGATTCGTTTGCTTTACGTTTGTACGCTGTTCATTCTCTTATGTTTGTCCGTTTAAATGAACGCATGGACTGAAGTTTTCCATGAAACCGTACTTGGCTTCATATTACCGCAATCGCACAAACGGTGTTTGCCTATAATTATGATACACGGAAATAAGATGATTCGTCCAAACTTGAGTCAAATTGTCAGGTCACTAAAACTGATATTTACCAGCCAAAAACTTGACCATTTATTTTAGAATCATTAAACGTTGATTCTGATCTTGAAAAGTGTATCTTCTAAAGTAGTAGGAGTTCTACCCTGTCCGGTGTAGGCAGTAACTACCGAAGACAGATGAGTGAAGTGGCGCGAAATCCCTAGGTCTATCAAAGTTAGACTAGTGATCCAAGTATTAGGCGTTTGCGTGCAAAACCGAAGGTGCTGGGTTCGAATTCCGCAAGTAACAGGACTCGTGGATGTGCACTGTTGATTGATCCCAGAGGAGGACGAAACGGCCTTCCAGTGCCTGTAAGTTTCTAATGGTGGTCTAACAACGATTGATTCATGATTTTCGCGAGTATTGTTGTAAGGTTCCAAACTTAGGTTATTTTGAAGTTCTTAATAAAACCAATCAAACACTGAAATTCACAACTATTTCCTAAAAATATAAAAAATTCGGATTTCAAGTAGTTTCAAAGAACAAATATATTTCATCAAAAACACCTGGGTCGCTTTCACAATCAGTTTTATTTAATATTATGGCTTAATGGAGCACTCACACACACTAGATACACTAGTAAGTAGTATAGTACGAATTGTTTTCAAATGATAGAAATTATTGTATTTTACACAAATTACCTCATGTGGTGAATGTGGTGCTAAATAAAGACGATAAATTCGTTGTGATTCTTCACCAAGATCTTCTTGTGGTAAATGTTTATACAATTCACAAATCAACCAAAATTCAATATTCTCTTCACTGTATTCTGATCTTAGAAATTGATGAAATTGAGATAAACCATCTGTAAAAAAATAAAAATTATGCGTAAAAGTACATATTAAATGTCCATTTCCAGCTGACACGCAGTGAGAAAAGCACATGACAAACCTTAACGTGGAATCCTCAAGGCCAACGGAAAAGAAGAACACCAAAGAACACATTACACCGAGAAATGAAAACAGACACGAGGTGAATGAACAACGGTTGGACAGGAGTGGGAAAGCGAAACCCAGGAGATAGTAAGTTGAAGAATGCTAGTCAGTGGCCTATGCTCTATTAGGGGTAACGGGCGTAAATAAGTAAGTAAGTAAGTAGTGTGTGGATTTCAGTGATCATGATTTTATAAAGTGTCAAAATTTACAGCTAATTATTGTTGAAAATCTTTATAATTTCAAATAATTCCAAAATAATATCTCAAAAGCATTGAATATGTTGTGAGGCTGATGGCCCTTCTCAAAACAATCAGAGCAGTCATTAACATAGATGAATGGAATGTTCGCACATTGTTGGAGACCGGAAGAACCATTGAAGTTGATGCAGAAATGAAAAGATACAACCTGATGGTACTTGGATTCAGTGAAACACATTGGATGCAAATTACTTACTTACTTATGCCTGTTACCCCCAATGGAGCATAGGCCACCCACCAGTTTTCTACAACAATCTCTGTCGTGGGCTTCCCTTTCCAGTTCTTAACAGTTTTTGTTCATTCTTCTCATGTCCTTCTCTATTTCTCGGCGTAACGTATTCCTTGATCTCCCTCTTTTCCTTTCACCTTGAGGGTTCCAAGTGAGGGCTTGTCTTGTGACGCAGTTAGGTGCTTTTCGTAGTGTGTGTCCTATCCACTTCTACCGCTTCTTCATGATTTCCTCCTCAACTGGAATCTGGTTTGTTCTCTCCCATGGTAAGTTGTTGCTGATAGTGTCTGACCAACGAATCCGAAGTATTTTGTGTAGACAACTGTTCATAAATACTTGTATCTTGTGGATGATGGCTTTGGTAGTTCTCCAAGTTTCCACCCCATAGAGTAGAACTGTCTTGACATTTGTATTGAAAATCCTGATTTTGGTGTGGATTGATATTTGTTTGCAGTTCCAGATATTTTTCAATTGTAGAAGCGCAGCCCTTGCTTTGTCGATCCGTGCCATCACATCTGCATCGTATCCACCTTGGTTGTTGATGATGCTGCGGAGATGTGTAAAGGTGTTAACGTCCTCCAACGCATCGCCATCAAGAATGATTTAGTTGGTGCATGTTGTGTTGCATCGGAGAATTTTGCCTTTTTCTTTATGTATGTTGAGACCTACTGCTGCAGAGGCTGCTGCTACACTGGTCGTCTTCTCTTGCATTTGTTGTTGTGTGTGAGATAGAAGAGCCAGATCATCTGCGAACTTCAGCTCGTCCATCTGCATCCTAGCTGTCCATTGGGTACCGTGCTTCCCTCCAGTTGCTGACGTCTTCATAATCCAGTCAATCACCAGGAGAAGGAGAAAGTTTCAGAGTAAGCAACCTTGCCTGACACCGGTCTTCACCTCGAAAGAATCTGTTAGCTTTCTTTCGTGTACGATTTTGCACTTGAATCCACCAAAACAATTCCGCATAATGTTAACTGTCTTCTCAGGCACACTATAGTGTTTAAGAAGTCTCCACAGTGTTTTCCTGTCCACGCTATCGAATGCTTTCTCGTAGTCGATGAAGTTGATGTAGAGTGCTGAGTTCCATTCCGTTGATTGCTCCACAATGATCCGTAACTTTGCGATTTGGTCAGAACACGATCGATCCTTACGAAATCCATCCTGTTGATCTCGATGTTGGGCGTCTAAAAACCTATGTAATTTCAACAACCTGGTCATGGTCAGTACCGTATTCCCACACAAACTCATACATAAAGCGGCATGAGCATCACCGAATCACACTACGCAACACTCGATCGATCACATCTGCATCAATAAAATATTCAGAAAGACCACGGAGGAGAAGATAAAAACCAAGAAAGGAGCTGAAGTAGCTTCACATCAGTATTTGTTAGTGGCCGAGATGGACAGCGGGGCGGACAGCATCACAAAAGTATAAGATGGCCTTCTTTCGGAATACTGGCAGACTCAACAAACTGAAGATCGCTCTGAGCAATAATTTCCTGGGCTTTCAAGATCTATTCAATGAAGAGTAAAATGCCATTGAGAAAAACTAAAAAGGGATCAAGAGGCGATAAATTAGTCTCGAGAAGCACTATCACAATGAACGTAAATATGCACCAACTATTTGATACAACGAGGAAGCTTACTGGAAGACATTGAAAACCAAGACCGCTAACCAGAACAAAAGAAGTCTAGGCATTCGACAACTTGGACACGATGTTAATATGGAGGCTTCTTCGACACTATGGCGTCCCTGAGAAGATTGTCAATATCATACGGAATTCTTATTATGGATTAAACTGCGGAATCAGGCACGGAGGGCAGGTGACAAACTCGTTTGAGGTGAATATCAGTGTAAGACAAGGTTGCTTACTCTCACCCTTTCTCTTTCCCCTAGTGGTCGACCGTGTAATGAAGATGTCAGCAAGTGGAGGTGAAATGGGACATCATCCAGAAGATACAAGTATTTATGAACAGTTGTATACGCAAAATACTTCGGACCCGTTGTGCAGACACTATCAGCAACAACCTACTATGAGAAAGAACAAACCAGATTTTAGTGGAGGAAGAAATCAGAAAGAAGCGCTGGAAGTAAATACGACAAGCACTGAGGAAAGCATCCAACTGCATCACAGTGCAAGCCCTCGCTCGCAATACTCAAGGCCAGAGAACACACCACGCCGGAGACAGACATAAAAACAATGACCAACGATTGGACAGAATTGCGAGAGAAGTCCCAGAATACATTAGGTTAAAGAATCCTGATGGGGTGGATAATTCTCTTTTTTGGGGGGTAACAAGCGTTAATTTGTGCTATCTTATTATTTTAAAATGTATGTGTTGTTAATATTGTCAGTAACGTAAAAATTTAAATTAAAAGTTTAAGTTAAAACCAATTGTTCATAAGCATTGGACACAGAGAATCATTCATAAACTGAGAATCACACGCTGATCTTCAAGTAAACTAATAAGTTAAGCTGCGTGTATTTTAAATACGTGTAATTTTTAAAATAAGCTATTTTCAATGATCAATAAAAGTAACTATTAACTATCGTCGATTGATTACCTAACACAACATTATTTTTGAAACCTTTCACTGCCTAAAACAAAATAGTCGAAAGTGTTCAGTCAACTTTTATTTCGGCAAAAATGTAATAAATTTTACAATAATAAACGATTTCTTTCAGAAAAATTGAAATCTTTTCAAGAGTAATTGAAAATCTGAATGTGGTTTGTTGCATTCAATTCATTTTTATGCAACTGTCAGTTGATTGCAATTCTTAATTAATATGGACAGTTTCTGGATATTATTGAGTTTATGAATTTACATTATGGAATCGATACGCCCGTCAATTGATATTTTTGAAACTATTACGAGTTCGCCTTACTTGGTAAACGAGAGCGAAGACAAATGATTCAGTGACACAATAGGCTATTCTAATCCGAGCGTCCTAAGGCCTCACAAAGTAGAGGAAGTGTGGTGTGAGCTACTTATAAGTAGTATATGTCGTGAGCGTCAACGTAATGTCTGGCAGCAGAACATGGGGGAAGATCAAGAAAGGAAGAGTTAGAAAACAATGGAATTTGTATGAAACGCATGAATAGTGACAATGGATTGATGTTTTGCAACAGGAACAGTCCAGTTCGATAGGATGAACTGATATTTTGCAAAAGAACAATTTACGATATGGTTTTTCCTATTTTACTAAGTAACTCTGTAATTTCACTAAATACAATTCGGTTGCCCCACCTGTGTTCTCGTTCACTACAGAAGAAGTCTTGACAAGACGTAGAA